GAAATTAAAATGTAAAAAGAAAATCTTCCATTTTGAACCATACTTCGATGAAACTGATTAAAACGAATAACCACGATTCTGATCATAATCCTGTATTTACTATGTAAATATTTTGTGAATTTTTAAATAATCGATATTTCAAATGTTGGAGCAGTAGATCTTTGAATTTACGTGGAAAATTAAAATGTAAAAAGGAAATCTTCCATTTTGAACCATACTTCGATGAAACTGATTAAAACGAATAATCACAATCCTGTATTCCGTGAACTTTTAAATAATCGATATTTCAAATGTTGGAGCAGTAGATCTTTGAATTTACGTGGAAAATTAAAATGTAAAAAGGAAATCTTCCATTTTGAACCATACTTCGATGAAACTGATTAAAACGAATAATCACAATCCTGTATTCCGTGAACTTTTAAATAATCGATATTTCAAATGTTGGAGCAGTAGATCTTTGAATTTACGTGGAAAATTAAAATGTAAAAAGAAAATCTATTTTGAACCATACTTCGATGAAACTGATTAAAACGAATAATCACAATCCTGTATTCCGTGAACTTTTAAATAATCGATATTTCAAATGTTGGAGCAGTAGATCTTTGAATTTACGTGGAAAATTAAAATGTAAAAAGAAAATCTATTTTGAACCATACTTCGATGAAACTGGTTAAAATGAATAACCACGATTCTGATCACAATCCTGTATTTACTATATAAATATTTCGAATTTTTAAATAATTTATAACACGTAATATCGTAATTAAAACAAATTTCACCAAAATTCTTTAAAAGCAAGACGTAAATTTCGTAAATTTAAAATTAAAATATACAAAAACCGAACATCAATAACTAAAAATCGACCAAAATAATAATAATAAGATAAGCGCAATTGTTGTTGCAAGAAACGCAACGAAATTTGCTCGAGCAGAGATAAATTCGGGAGACAAAGGGAATCAATTAAGAAATAGGGCGGCGATGGGAGGAATAGGAATCGCGGATCAAAAGGGAATTTTTCCCAAAGGCTCGACCTTCCTTCCCCTCTCTCTCTCTCTCTCTCCTCCGCGATATCTTCGGAAGACTTTGCGCACTCCACCCACTAATACGCAAAAAGAGCTCGCGACGGGGGTCGCCTCTCATGGTGGTCCCTCGTTGCCATGGATATTTGCATGCGTCCAATAAACGGTGGCTAAGGGGCTCTCGACTCTTGCTCCCGCTCCGGGGGGGTAAAAAGCGAAAGAGGGTCGCTAAATTCTCTTTTCCTCTCGCCGCCTTTCTTCGCGACTCCGTCTCTCCCCTCCTCCTCCTCCTCCTCCTCCTCGCTCTCCACCATTCTTTCTCTCTCTCGCCTTTCCCTCGCGCCCTCGATAATGGCTTCGAGGTGTGTGTAGCGCGTATCCAAGATGCTTGGATAAAGGAGAGGAATTCCGGAGGAAAAAAGGGGATAACGGGAACAGGTGCTTTTTCTTTTTCGTTCTTTTTTTCTTCTTCGTTGGAAATGATACGTATTGGCCAAGTGGTGGACGTTGCAGGGTCCAAGGATTTTTGCGCGATAATCTTATATTTTAGTGGGATGTGTTAAGTGGAGATTAAACGTAACGAATTCCAATGGGAATTTGGAGTAATAGAAATAAAGCTCGAGTCATCAGTATTATTCAATTAATTCTGTTGAATAAATACATGGTAAAAATATTTCCATTTCTTCTTTGAATAATTGTTGGAAATAATATAATATATTATTCCATATATATATATTATATT